GATGGCTGACTTTTTCTTCTGCGTGCCCATCGCTCCAGAGATGTCAGCGTGGGGAAGTTTTTGGGGTGAAAACCCCAGAAATGGGGGCAGATGTCTCCATTCCCCCCTCCCCCCCCCCATCCCCCTTCACGGTGTCCCCGCTGCCAATATCCAGAGGGGCACGTGGGGACGACGATGACGATGGTCGGAGTGATATAGGGAATATTAACGAGCCCGCCAGCAACTTTATGGGATGGGAAGGACCGAGTCGCCACCGTCCCCCCCCACCTTGTCCCACTCCCCTTTCTGTGGGGGGGGCTTTTTAAAAATGGCCTGATTTCCATGAAACAAGGGGGGGGGGGGATGTCAACGTGCAACATCCGTAGCCTGAAAGCGGGGAGCGCGAGGTTGTGAGATGTAAAGCAGTGTTGTATTTTCTATTTAAAATAGTATATTCTATTCATTTTTACGAAAGGGATGGTTTTTATTTTTTTAAAAAATGTCTTTTTTTTTTATTTTTTGGTAATGGCTTGAATACTTCGTTATGGGCTTTGTGGTTTTCAGGGCAATGAAGTCCATCGCTGCGTTTGCGGGTTAATAACGCTACAAAAGGTGCTTGGCTTTGGTCCTTCATAGAAAACCAGAGGAGCTGTGAAATATGGAAATGAAATACATATTAATTCTCAAAAAAAAAAGAAAAAAGGTTTTGTACCATGTTGGATTCGGGGCATTTTTTATTTCCCCCCCCTGCACATCATGATGATAAGCTTTCAGGTTGTGGCTTGCATTTCCATAGGCTGAATTTCATTCAAAAGGCATTCATTTAGTGCTGAATCCTGTCAAATGTAGAAAAATGAGCAGGTTGAGGGTGTTTTTTTTGTCTTCCCCCCCCCCTCTCCTGGACAAAGGCATGTTGTACTAACCAGAAAGAAACCCCAAGTGATTCTATTTCTGTTTTAATCAAAATATGATTTAAGATGCGGTGGTGTGTTTATTCTTGCTGTTAAATAGCGATGGAGGAAGCCAGAGCTTTTCTTTTCTCCTTTTTTTTTTTTTAAAGGAATGTGAATGATGGAAACATCTTTAGGGAAACATTTTGCTGGACTTGATTGCATCAACCACGTTATTTCATGAAATGTTAACTGTGAAGTGGTCGTTGATTAAAACTCCAATTGAGGAGCGATGTTGAGCAATGTAAAGAAAAAGGAAATTAGTACTAGGGGGCCAAATGCTTTTTTTTTTTTCTTTTTTTAAGTGCTTTTTGATTTTGAATTTTAACTGTTTCATGGATTCTCTTGACCCTTATGGCTGAGTATGTAAAAAAAAATCCCACAACCAATAACTATGGTCTGAATATTTCATCTTGCTGGATGTATGTAGTCGTTCAAAGGATGGATAGCAGCAGCAATGTCTTTTTTGGGTGAAATACATATTGAATCTGATTAATTTTTGGCTTTTTTTTGTTCTGGAAGTTACAAATACCAACTTACCTCCTTATGCATTTAAACTTTTTTTTTTTTTTTTTTTTTTTTTCATACGGAAAATGTTTGTTTTACTGAAAATTGAATTTCCTGCTCATGGAATGGGTTGAGGAAGGCTGTATAGTGTGCTGATGAAGGGAGATGTTAAGAATATAAAACTGGAAAAAGCTTAAGCCTTCTTCATATTCCTCTGCTCTGACTTCAGATGTGGACAGTTCTAGATTGCAGTAAGGTCCATGCTGTCATTCTCATTTCAGTTTTTTCCCCCCTTTTTATTTTATTTTTTTTTTTTTTTTTTTTTTACCAAAGTAAATGATTCCATCCAAAGGGATTTCTGAAATGATGTGCTTGCAGTGACCTTTCATTTTAATGCACGTGCGCTGAGTATTTCAGATGTATGGTGGGGTTTGTTTTTTTTTTTGGGGTGTACTCTTTGGTTGATTAAAATTGGCTGGTAGTAAAAAGGCACACTTCTTCTGGAGTGGTGGATTCTAACCCTTCTCCTTTGGAACAAAGGGATTGGAAGCAAAACAGCTGCATGCTGTGAAGGTGTTTTGAATTTGTTCAGTAACAGGAAATCTTGGAGTGAGAAACCTGAACGCCGCACCCGTATTGCGTCAAAATTAATGAGAATTAACTCAAATATGGTCATTTAGGGAGGACGTATTGTAGAGGTCCTTTCTGATTTTAGGTGCTGCTCATCTGTCAGGTTCAATGACAAGTCTGCATTGCAGCAGGGCAACTATTTAAGGATTTTTTTTTTAAAACCCACCTCTTTGCAGTTAAGTTTTCGTGCTCCCCTGTATCCGTTATTCACCGCCCGGATAACGGGGAAACCCGGGAGAGAAAGGGGATGCTGCTCTTGGTGCTCCTGAAGCATTCTCCAAAAATGCTGGGGAGAAACATTTCTGCGAAAGGGCTTCAGTAGCCCAGCTGAAAGCGTAATTAAAACGATAATTAAATTGAGTCTAAATTTAATTAGCTGATCTGTCTAGAAGAGCTCCTGAACCTGGGTTTGGACGCGTAGGTGCAAATGCAGCCGCTTAAGGAAGGGAAGTGTGAGCTTCATCCACGTTAGGTTCTGCTTTTTGGTAAGTTTTCAAAGGTGACCGCTGTGAGATGGACATCAATCTCCTTTTCTGGGAAGCAGGACATTGGCAGCTGGGATGGAGCTCCTGGGTCACCAATTCTTACCCTCCTCAAAAGCCAGCAACCACGGCACAAACATAAATTCAGTCTTATTTTAAACCCGGGTGTTTTTTCTGCTGCGGGTCACCAATTCTTACCCTCCTCAAAAGCCAGCAACCACGGCACAAGCATAAATTCAGTCTTATTTTAAACCTGGGTGTTTTTCTGCTGTTGCTTGTGGCAGAGAAGCATTTCGGACCTTTATCCTCTGGTACTTAAAAAACCTCCACGTTTCCAGCCGGGCACACTCTGCCCATTTCCCACCTCTCAAGCGGTCGGTAGCAGTCGATGAGGCTGTCAAAAAAAGGAAATACAA